GCCACCGATGGAGGAAACAGAAGTGTGAGCGCTAACTAAACTAGCATCAGCAGCCAAGTACTGCCTGTGTGTTCTGGACACTTCCACCCCGTCAGAGCGCTGCCCCGGGGTGGACGTGTCCCCCGACCGGGACGAATGTTCTGATATTCATCATTAATTGAGCCCAGAAAGTTCTACTGGGACCAGCCCTACTAGTTATTATAACAACTATGAACAATAATGAACAACTAATGAGCCTTCCAGCATCAAGCCCTCCTCGTATCTGGACCTCCGTCTGGACAATCCTACAGCCTTGATATCCGACATAGAAGAAGGTTTTATGTTTAGAGTCAGATCATCGAGTCATGACTGTAGTTGCTTCTGTGCTTTTACGTTAATTTTGTCCTCTGTTTACAGATATACGTTATAGTTTCTGTGAAACTGTTTGAGGAGCACAAACAGATCTGAGTTCAGTTTAAACATCATTTACATTAAACTAACAGCAGCTCACAGGAACAAACAAACCTTTAAACCCAGTTCATTGACCCACGATCGATTATTAATTATAGCTTTTACAATTTCACTTTGAGGCTGAAAACAACCCAACAAAAGAACATTTCAAACATTGTCTGACTGAAACAACTGATTCCTCGACCAGCTGCTGATGAACCTTCCATCACTGAATCATTTTCCTGCCGATGCGTTCACTTGTACAGCAGAATGAGAACATGTCTGATCTCAGTGAGTTTTTTCTTTAACCTCGTGAAGTCGCAGTAAAAAAACAAAAAAACCAGAAGCTTCGTCTCTCAGAGTTTTACGACAAGCAAACAACCAACAACACTCATCGCTGAGCATTTGTTTGTTCCGTTAAAACCGTTAAATCGTGTGTTGGAAGCTGAACCTGCAGCTGTTTGACTGTTTGTTCTGCAAACTGTTCAACAGAAGAAGACAGGACCAATAATCAGTTATCAATAATCAGGAAGAACAGTCTGCTCTCATTAGTCAGTAACAATAATTAATCACAGTTCAGGCGACTTTACGCTGATCATCAGGAACATCAATCAATAACTGTATTGATCATGAATTGGTTTACAGCAGCAGTGAACACGTCCACATCATGTCACTGACATGTAGATTAATTCTAAACTCTTCACAGTAATCTGATTACTTCCATGAACAAACAGACACAAAGTTAATAATAAAACTTCAGGCAGACAGATCAGTGAGCAGCTAGAACCCAGTGCAGCCCAGTGTGAGCNCAGGCTCTGCTCTGAAGCTATTTTATTGTTTTTAAGTTATTCTCTTGTTTTCACTGTGAAGCACTTCAGGCTTCAAACTTTGATTGATTGACTGATTTAAATCAGGTTTTGATTGAAATAGAAACAGTCTGTGAACCCTCCCAACACACCTCAAAGAGCGTACCATACCCTGGTCCGTATCCAAGGCCCCTCCAGGACCCCTGGACCGTATCCAAGGCCCCTCCAGGACCCCTAAAACCTCCCCCGTGGCCCCTGAACAGCAGCCTTACCTGGAGGAGCCTCTGCAGTGCCGGGACTCGGTTGGCTCCCGGGTACTCCACCTGACATCCTTCAGACGCCAGTTTGGTCGGAGTCGCAAAGATGGCAGGTGGACTGACAGAAGGAACACCTGATCGCACCTGGAGAACACAGAGACGCACAGGTGAGGCAGGGTCATGTGATCAGCTTCTGGAGGTTCTTACAATGACCATGAAGAACACGAAGAACATGAGTTAGACACAGTTTCTGCTCAGAGCAGCGCAGCAGCAGCGAGGCTGAACACACTGTCGTCAACAACAACAACAACAACAACAACAACAACAACAACAGCTGTGACACAACAAACAAACAGATGATGCTTCTCCTGCTGCGCCACAAAAACACTGAAGTCCCTTATGTGATGTCAGAATGATGCGATACGATTCATTCTGATCGCAGACCAGTGATCCAGGAGAGGACCTGGATGAACCGAGCAGAACCTGATGCAGCTGCTTGGTTCTGTTTGACACATTTTAATGAAGCTGCAGCTGAACAAAGAAAAGACTAAACGAAGCCACTGAACACGGTTTCAACAATAAAACCATCGAGCTTCTACATCTGTATGGTTTATCTTCTCACTGAATGTTCATGTGCTTTTATTTTGGTAGTTCATAAAGTTAATTACAGCCGTGACTCGATAATCGACCCGTAACGATCCAGAACCTGCTATCTGATAGGTTTGTAGGAAAACCCACCAGAACCCATAAAAACAGCCTTAACATAGCGACAGCCTTGGATTGTGACTCCGACATGACATTTAATGTCACCAATCAGGATGACGGCGTATTATCTGACTGAACAATCCCACAGATTGGCTACGTTCACACTGCAGGACTT